TGCGAAGCAGGATTTTAGGGAAGGGGCCAATATGCATAATTGTGCAGTCAAGGAGTGCTCTGGGTTTACAATATAAGAAAAATCAAGTCATTGTTGCGTAACATAATGCTCCAAAATAAAGTTTCATTCTTAGCAACAAGAAGCACAATAAATGCATCCCTATCTGTATTAACCTAATAACAACAAAATGTGTTAGAATATAAATATGTTTGGATTATATAACAGGATCTTGTAGGTCCATGCTCAAAAGTACTTTCAACTAATAAGACATTAAGTGTGTGTTATGATGCAATACGACAGCAGGAATCATTTAAAAACTATTATTTTTAAAGTGAAACTTCCTCTGAACTTCACCATCAACCAAATGCCACTGAAAAAAAAAAAAAGCAAAACAAAGAAGTGTGCATCACCCTGTAAGCATTCACACAAGCGTGAGTGTGTGCTTACATGCACTCGTGCGTTCCATGACACCTAATACGCTAATATTTCAAGAAAGTGAGCTACACCTTGAAAGCTCTGTGTCTGTGATCATTTTATAACATAAATCTCTGTACATCAACTCTGAGAACTACTAAACACCTTATTACAGACAAAGCCCTATCTGCATCACTGAGAATAAAGTAGGGAGGGTGGGATCTAAATGATGACAACAACAGAGTAAAAAGACTGTTCCTAATCGGTCAGTACGTCTAAGTAAGAATATAACTTTTTTCAGAATTTTGGTAAAATGGGCACTTAATTGTAAACAGCGTAGATTTACATGGTTGGCAACACAAGTGGGCAAACAACATTTTGACGTGCAATCCTTTCATTTAATACAGTGGGAGGTAGGTGGTCAGTGGGTTATGCTGTTGGTGTGTAGTGTGTTTACCCACAACAAAGTACAATTGTGGCCTGGTATGTTTACAATGTGCAAGAGCATAACGAAATCAAACAAGTAAATTGCATTACAAACCCCTAATCTGGAAAACGTACAATACTAGGACACTTTCACTTTTGGGGGCAGCTGTGGCTGAGTGGTTAGAGCAGTCGCCCTCCAATGCAAGAGTTGGGGGCTCAATTCCACATGTTGCAGTGTCCCTGGGCAAGACACCGAACCCCTCATTGCCTCTGATATGTGCCCCATCGGTGTATGAATGTGATCTAAAAGCACTGATTACAGTAGTCTTTGTATTATAGTGGAGTGCTGTATGAATGGGTAAATGAGCCACAGATTGTAGTGTACAGCACTTTGAATACCTTGATTAGATAGAAAGGTGCTATATAAGTACAGTCCATTTACCATTTCACTTGGTAATGTAATAGTTACTTCAGGGTCAAACGACAGAGGCTGGTAAGACCTAGAAGTCCAAATAGATACAAAGAAAAATAATAGAACAGTACAGCTAGTTCTTTTTATGCAAAGACAGAAAACATCTAATTGAAAAACATTCAAAACACTTAAAATTAACATATTTTAAAACTGTTTAACATTTTTAATATGGAAATGCATATTTTTATGTTTAGTATATCAGGGTAGAATCTCACTGAGCATCGACTGTTGGAGACTACTTGGCAACTCAGGCCCCGTTTACATGAGAATGATCTCTGGAAACGTTAGTGTTTTTTTTCAGTGTTTATTGTGGTGGATCAACATGAAAAAAAAAAAAAAAAAACCTTTTACATGAATGCAATGAAGTTTCCATCTCAAGCTGGGTTGCCAGATAGGAAATGAAGAAATATTGCACAGTTAGTTTAAAATTATTCTCTTTTGACCTAAACTATCATATGTGCTGAGTGAGGTGCTCTTTCTCAGAGGGTGTAGGTTGTACGATGAGGTGCGTGTTGTGCATGTGCACAGAAAAGGAGGGGGGCTAAAAAGGGTAATTATCGTCTAACTGGCAGCACTGATGATGCCGGGCTTCAAAGGGACGCACTTGCAGTCCCAGAACAAACAAAGCAGTTAAATCCAAAATATTGATGCAGGAACATTCATTTGGACAGAGGATGAGGCTGCATGGCTCTTACACACTGAAAAAGGTGAGCAGCACAAACAGAACTTTAGTATCAGCTATGGCTTGCGGTTGTTCTACTTGTACAAGTGCAGAAAAATAACATTGACTGCAGCTTCTGGGAGAGTGCACAGCGATTTCACACCTCTCCAAACCCTCCACTCTGAGATCTGGACTCAAAAACCTTCAATTTCAAAGGAAACAAGCACTTTTGGTGTGTGACATGAACAGCCAAACCACAGCAGAAAATCTCTGGTTTAACTCTAAATCGGCATCAATATTGTGAGAAAATAGTCAAATTCATTGTTGCAATCTCAATGAAACTTGAGTGTTTGTGACCGTGCAACCGGAGAGCCGTGCAGCTGCGTTTTGCACTGACAGCATTTGAAAACCATGTTTATTTTTGCGTGCACTGCTTGAAATAAAATGCATTTTAGACGACGTGCATTACTTTGGTGCTCTCATCATGCCGCCTCGACCCGCTTTATACCCACCCTCACATTTATGTTTGACTTACAAGACATTAAGTTTGAAAATAAGGAGAGGCAGATTCAGATCAGTCCCTTTCTGGGCAGTAACTTCAGATGTTTTCATTTTCTGCTAAAAGGTTTCGTCCTCATGAGGGAGTTTTTCCTTCCCACTGTCACCTTCATGCTTGCTCAAGATGAGAGTTCTGCGATGGAGTTAAACTCAAAGCAGTCTGCTCCTCAGATAAATAGTATTAAATTATTATTATATAGAATGTTTCTGTTAACTTATTTTATACATGTTTCTGTTCAGTGCCCTGAAATGTTTCTGTTGTGACTTGGTGCTATATAAATAAACTGAACTGAGACTCATTACACAGAGACATCTTACAGACTCCTTCACAAATGCCATTCGTCAACTAATCGCCAACTGTTGAAATCCACTGAAAGCAAGCACTCTGTGCATTAAAGCAACTGATTTTTCATTCATTTTCTATGAATTTGTGTTCAAAAATATAATTTGCTGCTGAACCCATACAGAGCTGGATACTGACAAACCTTTGAGCTGCTAATCCTGACTATTAGTTCACAGTGGGAGTTGCAGGCACCTCTTGGGAGTATTTAAACCAAACAGTTCTCTGGAAAATACAGAAACTGAGGAAATCTCAAAAGGACAAAATAAAACCTTTTTGCTGTGGAAAGGTATGCTTAATTTAAATAAACCTCATTTTAAATTCTCTGTGGCATACACAAGTAATCCACAGGTTGTATTGCAAATAATTCTTTGTGATTTGTTTTTATAGACTAGCATTAAAAATGTTGATATTTGAACAACTTTTTACCAATGTCATTACTGGTACTAGGCCTGAATTGTCAACCAGTCACCACACACTTACCTTGGGCGAGCCAATCACAGACTCATCCCTCATGCTTGAAAAGACCCGTGCACATGCAGTTTTGTAAACTACAATTGGCTTCTGTGGTGTAGGTACAATAAAAAGAAAAGAACCTGCCTCTAACATTCATAGGAACTATGAAAAGGTTTTGAAAGCACACATTGTAGACAATTCACTAATTGTTGATAAGTGCATCACGCAACACTGCTTCACAGAAACTAAATTGCCCATTTCAATCAGATTAAAATAATTGGCAATTTTGATTTAAAGCAGAACTTGGGGTTTGTTCAAAAACATTTAAGTGAAACATTTCAACTACGCAAATACTATTTAATGAGGAGCTATTATGACTAATACATGATCAACAAACCCCACAACAGCAGGATTTCTGAGCTTACTGTATGAAACAGAGACTAGCAAAGAATTGATGTTTTACTCTACATAAATATCAGTTAATAACATAACTTCAAAAAGGTACTCATTAAAATGTTATGAAGACCAGTCCAAAAAATATATAAGAAACAGAACCTGTACCATATCTTTTTCTCATATTAATGTTTAATTTTTTTCTTAAATGTGCAAAATTTATGAACCGCTGCCAACTATTGCATGCATTTGTTTACTAAGAGAAATAGCCAGTGACAGAAGGTCAACACTGGCAACGTTCATGGAAGAGCTGTCTGAGATCCAGAAGTCCAATAATTTTGATGGATTAGTGTATTTATGCTCAGCTTTGCTGAATAAAATATGCAGATACATGTGTCAAGATGGGTGATGCTCATGATAAATCAGCTTTAGGTGTCTATCTCTTTTCTTTCCTGTTTAGCAGCAGATCTACTCATATTTCCACTGAATTGTCTTCCCTTTGACTCTATGCTTGTCTGAATCCGCCATATTTATTTACCTACACAGAAAACAGCCAGCCCAATCACACGACTCAAGCTTCCACGTGGTTTTCGCCAAATTAAGGTGACTGCTTTGTTTTTAACATCGATTGCATAGAAACACTGCAGAATCGCATATCAAAATATCCGTAAAACAACTAGAATAAACTCTTTCAAACTACACCATTTGATACAGATCAGAATAACCTTCATGTTTAATTTTATAGTTTGCGATGAGCATCTTTAAATGGATAAAAGAAGAATGCTTTAATTGTACCGCATCGTTGTCCACAGACTTGCAACACGACTCTGTACTTACTGACTGAAGCGTATCTGTCCAATTCACTCTTTACGCTGCTTTTGGTTTTTTTTTTGAGTATGCAACACCATCTTGAAGTGAACATTACAAACGTGCTCAAAAAGAAATATGATAAGCCCGATTGCATTTTTGTATGCATTTGCATTTTAGGATTTGAAGGGATTTGCACACTCTGGCCCTGCTGCAGGCAAACACACACACACACACAAGTGGAATGTGAAGGGATGCACAGCCTATAACAATAGCACTGGACACAAAACACTGGGACAAGTTTAGGAGGCTGAAATGCGAGATGAGGTCTCAATATTATAAACACTCTGTACGGCTGGGAAAGAAAACAAAGAGCTGCAGAGAGAAGTGGAAAAAAAAACACGTTTTGTTCCCTCGTGCAGCTCAACACTGCAGGCTGAAGAAGTCACACATGTCTTTGAGTATTTTCTTACCTGATGTGGCATATCAACCTTCACTTTGTGGGGTAGCAAAGAGCAAATCAAAAGTTGAATCCAGGTCGCCCCCCCAAAAAAAAAAAATGTCCTCACAGCCAGTTGAGCAGAAGGCGGCTTTTTAAACTATTTCCACCCCGCGCTGAAAGCAAACTTTTCCTCCTTTCTCCAAGAAGCAAAACTGTCAACAGAAAGGAAAGCAGAGGTGATTTAGTGAGGGCTATCTAACGGTCAGCCGAGGTGGGGGATGGGGGGGGGGTGTTAGATCCGTCCCGTTATTTCTTGCATGGACATACCGTTCCGTGAAACACTATTCAGAAAATCTGGAAATTCACTGGCGGCTTTGTTCAACTATACCCGGGACAGGGGCTTTTCTTTGGTCTGTTTCTCGAATGCTCGTGTGGGAGAGCTCATGCAGGACACGCGAGTTCACCAAGATGCAAACCTTCATTTCATCCACGAAAACTTTCAACCCTTTTTTTTTGCAATTACCCTGTCCTTGCTAACTCGATTATCCCGCATGATGTTTGGTCTCTAATTAACGGAGACGACACGTAAGTGGGCGAAAAGCGCGTGTTTTGTTTAGCTAAAAAAATAAATAAAAAAAATCTACAGAAACGTGATCGTAATTGGCGAGACTGAATGCAAGTCAGGTTGCAGGGTTTTGAACATGTGCCAACACACACGGCCATATTATTTGCCACATTTTAAATGGAGTTTCGCCCTCCCGTTTTCCCCCCCCACACACAAACATGCACAGATATAATCTACACAACAAAACATTTAACTACACTCCGCTCGGAAACTAGCTAGCGAAAACGCACGAGCGAGGGAAAAAAAAAAAAAAAAAAAGCCCTGATATTTTCACCAGCTTATAATTGTGAACACTGCTGTTTTCAAGACGAAAAGCGGCACCGAATCGCCCATTCGTAGTGACGATTACGCCCAGGCTGACTGCTTGTGTCATCGGTATGTGGTATATAGCATGTCGCTATACGGCAACAACAACAGCTAACGCTACAGCGGCACACTTTACTGGCCTCAACGCAGCGCGTGAGCTTTTCCAGGCACTTCTCAGCGACGTTAAACGACAGAGAGCGTTAAACACAAAGCCACAAAAGCGCTACGACACCTTCGAATACGCGGGACACACCCCAGGTAAACGAAAAAACACAACTTACATTAGTTCGTACGAAGAGCTACGTAAGCAGACCCTCTGTTAGTCCAGTTTTTGATCTGTATCGCCGCAGATGGACTGCACATCCACATAGCCCCGCCCACACTGCTTCCCAGTCAGGCATATCTATACATATATATTATCCGCCGCGCCGTCCAATCACAGCCTTCCACTCTGGAATGTTCTGCACGCTCATTGGCGGAGAAGCACGTCAATCACCCGTTGACAGTATTTTTTTTTTTCAGCAGTCTTCACCATATAGGGGTGTGTCGTGACGTAGCAGATAGCCTGATAGTTGTTTTTTTTACTTAGATAAAGGAAATAACATGCACAAAGATTCTTTAAAAACTATACTCATCCTTTGAAGCATTCATAACCTATATTAATAAATGATCAATATAAAAGGTACTCTTATTTTTAGTTAAGGGGAAAATATGTTGGATGAAAATATTCATGCCTCCTGATTTATAAACGTATAATATGTAATATAAATAAACGTATTTCGTCTAAAAATCCTTTTTTATCAGTACATTCCTGACTGAATTAAAGGTATTCGTTGTAAAGTATGACATAAAACACTAAAAGTTATTCTGAACTATGTAAAATGTTGTAGTTTGATAGCACAGTTAATGTAAACAGCGCTAGGTCAAGTCCGCCTACATAAACATATACACTTATATAATGCTGACATGTTGCATGTTTTATAAAAAAAGGTTGCAATACGTAGAGAAAAAACACAAATTTAAAAACATAGGCTATAAAATAAGTAAAACATTCACTTTAAATAGTGTGTATTAATGCAATACAATACTTATTTCGTTACAAAGCACTTAAAAACTACACAGCTGGTCAAAGTACGCTGAGACAAGACAACGTAAAACACAAAGTTCAACAGAATAAAAAATACAATTAAAATCAATTAAACAGTAAAAATAACAATCAGTTAAAATCATAAAAACAATAAGAAATAATGTTAGGTAATGGAAGTTTTACTAAACATGTGTTGATCTACAACTTTAATGTGCTCTGTGTTGTCATTTCTCTTTATATTAATTATTAATATTTAACCTTTACATTATATATGACATTTGCACCACTCTGTACCTCTGTGGGCTGTCTATACTGGAAACCAAAGGTACCTGATAGTTTAGGCTCCACATGCCAAAAGCTACAGAGGTTAGTTGAACAAAAACAACTCTTTCCTGACTAATTAATCTGTTCATGCTGCATATGGTGACACAGCAAACCCGGTTTGTTTCTGTGATAGAGGAGTTTAGTGGAAGTGACAGGGCTCTGCGGTGTTATACTGAGTCACCCGAAGGTCATTTTAGTGCACATTAGTTATCACATTACCCACCCTGTAAATACACGTGATCTGCCCCACAAATCCACCCCTAACTCTGAGTGTGGAGATGCCGTGTTCTTTATTTGGAACATATCGGTTGTCTTTTAGGCTTTGGGCCAACACATGCAGACAACCTCTGACCTTTCTGTAAGACGAAGAGCTCCACGTTGGCAACATTACAGTAAGTATTAAAATTCCTACGTGCCAAAGGTTATCAAATAAGTTAAGGAAAGGAAACATGAACCGTGTTTGGTTAAATCATCTGCAAAATAAATATCTTGTTTCAGATTTGCGCAAATTGTTCTGTGATATTAGCCTTTAAAACGCTGTAGTCATAATGTGTAAAGTATGGCATCATTATATTATATCATTAAGTACCAAATACATAATTATTCAATAGAAAGCACATAACATTTGTTCTCAATTAATCTGAACTGCAGATAACTATCGTAGGAAACAACTTTTTATTCTTTGTTTGTTACTCCCGTTCTTTTTCTTTTGTAGAGCATGTTTTAATCATTTTATTGTTCAAACATGTTGATGTTACTCATATTAATGAAATGTGTAACCTTGTACTGAAAATGCAGTTTCACTATTGGAAGCTAAATAAAAACACATTACAGCTCCATTAAAAGTGTGAAACAGCTGTTTCAGTGTTTACACCAATGTTTCTATTATATACCTTCACCCGCCTTGCACTTTTTTAACAATTATAAATCAAAACATTTGTTGTAATCCATAATTATGTGCTTTAATCTTTCAGCATTTTAAAGTTCAATACTTTTTTTAAATTATTTACCACTATTTACATAAATGTTCCCCAAATAAGTACATTTAGATCTTTTCAGTCCCTACAAAAATGTACTTTAATATCCTTTTCAGCATTCATTTTTTGTCTTCCTACACTCAATTTAGTTTGTAGTTACTTTCCTGTTAATTTTAGCTTTAAGCTACAGTTTCGCTATAGCTTTTATTTTCAATTTTGCTCATTTTAGTTTTGCGTACTTTGTCTTTAGCTGTGGTTTTGCCAGTTTTATGTTTTTGCTGTATGATTTTTCTCATTGTACTATTTAGCTAGTTTTTCCCGTTTTAAAATGTTCCTTCGGTTTTTGCTCATTTTAGCTTTTTGATACCGTTTTGCTACATTTAGCTTTCATCTATTGTTGGTGTTAGCTTCTACTATTGTTTTGCTTATTATATCATCTGTTCTGCTTGTTTTAACTTTAACAGTTCAGTGAACAATTTGTTCTTCAGCCAGTTTCAGCACAGTCAATCGGCACGGGACGTTTGTGTTGCAATTTGTTTGGTTAAAGATTGATAAGGTAAAAATAAATCTGCCTTTTTGCATGCATCTGTTAATATTTTACCTGTGTTTTTGAGCAGACTATATTGAAATCAAAGCTGTTTCTTCGTAAGCACACACTGTTTGACATTCACGTGTGTGTGTGTGTGTGTGTGTTTGAGTGAGAGCTTGCTGTTTTTCCTTGCAGCCTGCCTGTGTGTACATGTGCTGGAATCTAGGCCATCCCTTGTGGCTTTGTGTCTGAGAGGCAGATCGGTCTATATGAGGGGCAGCGAGGCATTTGGGCGTGTTTCAGTTTGGGGCATGCGCGCAGGGGGGACTTCTCTGTGGTTGTATGTGCATGTGAGACGTACAGGCAGACATACTGTATGAGGTGCCGCCGTTGTCCAGGAGCGTTTCCGACGTGCAAAGATGCTACACTGCAACAGCAACGCTCAAACACTTTCACTCTGTCACGTCTCTCTTCCTCGTTAGCTTCCTTCCTAGAATTTCTCGTTTTACGCCCCCAACTCCAGACCAACACGTAACATACTCACCGCTTTCTCTCCCAGTCGTGGGGGGAGTCAAAGAAACAGCTGGAAAAGCAAATATTCACCAGCAGGCCGGACCGTGGCCTGCTTGCTCTTCTACGTGCCCACATTTACCTCGGATGAATGCGGGCCTCACACTGATTTTTCAGCTGCATGCAAACGCCTCACAAAGAAGAGCAACTGCACAAACGAAAGGAGCTCTGCGGCAAACACGGAGCGTATGAGCAGTGTCGTCCACAGGTTTCTCACAGGTATTTTACAGTGGTGTAGTCTACATTTTTGTACTGGGTACACTGTGCTTAGAACCCAAAGTACACCGGTTAGTTCAATGTAATCGTCAAATTGTTTCGATTTTTAAGCGTATTGAACATTTCCAAATTTCTCTGATGCTTATATTTGAATAAATGCACAAGAAACTTTGCACAACAGTTGGCTTTGTATTAAAAACATGTTATAGAATTTATAAAACAGTAATTATAGAACAGTTTGCTAGATAAGCGAATGTAATAAAGAAGCGCTGCATACAGAAAGATTGTTATGGAAGCATTTAACTGCCATTTAACGTATCAATGACACATGCTCAATGATATGTTACATATCACTGGACACTTTTAAATGGGTATTCTGAAAGTCTTAAGCTTTTCTAGTGGGTATACTCCGAATACTCGCGTATCACGTAGACGACGCCACTGGTATTTTCTCTGCTGTGGATGTACGCAGGAGCACACAGTGCAACAAAAGTGCCATTTTTGCTCCTTCCCTTTTAAAAAGTGTCCAGAGCCACAAAACATGATCAATATCACTCATAATGTTGTTTAAATACTACATATTAAAAACAGTTTTCACATTAAATAATCATATATTTACATTAAATTATTGACGTCTATTGGTGTGTTTACATGTTAAGACAAATGGAAAGTATGGACTGTTTTTGTGCTATCAAGCTGAGTCAACAATAATGTATTACTTGTGCGCTCAACTCTGATTTTTAGCTCAAGTTGGCACAAAGTGTACTTTACCATATAATCAAATCACGCTCCTATCTTTATTAATCTTTTAGATTACATTCATAGTAGATGTTCTTGTGTCCAGAAAGAATGCTATTATAGAAAGCTTAAAGAGCAAACAAAGATAGGCGTGTGATTTGATTATATGGTAATATTGCATGCCATACATGTGCCACCACAGGCAGTTTAGCGTGCACATGACACAGGTTGAGCGTGTGTGTGAGTTGAGGGCTTGCATGACACATTATTGATTGGGCAGCTTAATATGCATCACCTCAACTTGATGAAAAACAAACCTGTAGAAGCAACCAAACTTCTGAAGAGAGGAAGAAAAACATTTTGTTTTTACACCTTTTGATGAACTTTAAGTACCTTTATTATACTCACTGTATATATGAATAATAATGTAAGTATTTTTGAAATATTATAGCATTTCCATCCTGCTAAATTATTTAAATTTGACTAGACTGCTGAATATTTGTCCAACTTATTTTACTTTTACATTAAAAAAGAGACCTTTATTTACCTCTCTTACTTTTATTAGATGCAAAACTTTATATTTTTGATGACATGTCACAGTAAAATTCGTGCAAAACTGTGTTTTCTTTCAGTATCTTGGTTCAAATTTAAACTGGTGGATTTCAGAGAAAAATCTTTCAGTCTCTGGAAGTTAAAAGTAATGTCTTGTCCAAAACTATTTATAAAGAAATAAAATGCACTTTTTGTTCTTTATATCGATGGGTAATGTGTCTAAATTAAAAATTTGTCAGCAAAATTAGTGACTGGCTGCCAATTACTACATTCACCTCCAGAAAGAGTTAAAATGACTGAAAAAAATCCACAATGGAGTCATTGAGATGGAGGACTCTGGTAAGTTTGTCCTGCTGGGACGTATTTACGCTTACGCTTGTTG